ACGTACATAGTGATTTGAATACTGAGTATACCCCCAACTATAAAAATATGCCCTCGAAGGACAAAAACATAAATAATATGTTATCGACTAGGTAGTGCTACTGCCCAAACGAAATACTAGTAGACTGAATTACAGGTCATCTCTACACTGGACAAAATTGCTAACGCACCACCAAAAGAAAGTAATATTTTACTTTTCAAAACTTGTTTAAGATGTATTTGATATATTTTTATGTTACAAAATCAAAAAATAAAGCATTTGAATGTCTTAATTGATAAATAATTACAATGTTAATTGAAGTGTGACCATTTCATAGAAAACGTTAAAATCGTGTCCATACTAATTTTGAGGGATAAATTTCAAATTTTTTCTTTCCAATTTTGTTCCTTATGTTTGTACTAATTGGAAAATCAGGGAAAAAATTATTCCGTATGCGGCATTTGATCCCAGTTGAGCTTGATAAAAAGACAATATGATGCCTGCAGGGGGTTCCTTTGGAAAGATATGTAAAACATTAAAACAATGAAAACAATATTTATTCTTCTGGTGAAAAATTGTAAAAAATAGATTAGTAGACATAAAAATGTTCACTCTAGATAGCCAAGCCATTAAGTAAACAACACATCACAATTTCAATGTCGTTCAAAAAAGTACGGGCAACCGGAAGTTGCGTGGACTGGGAATGGACACCAATGCATTGGATGACTAGCAGGCGACATAATTGTCAATCACTGCATATTATTTCCCTTTTTTAAATTGGGAGACTGTTTCTGGTGTAACCTCAAGGACCATCATCGGTAATTAGCAATGCATATATCTGGGCAAAAAAAATGTTCGCGAAGCATGTCGGGAAATTGGTTTTGGGCAAGAAGGTTATTTTGGGGGTTTTGTTCTGAATGCAAGACATTTGCCAATCCCATTGTATTGGAAAATATGGCGTTTTATATATACTAATTCCGTTTAGGCAAATGTTCAATTCACAAAGAAGAATTTTTAGTGGTGCGTTAGCAATTTTGTCTAGTGTATATCTGTAGCTAAAAAGGATCTGCCATGATCCTCCTCACAGTTTTCACTCCTGTCAATTTTTTTTACCCTTGTCTCTCATATATAGAAATTGGATTAAAAATTAACAATTCATACAATCATGGATTATAAAGTTTTCTGACTTTATAGTGATAGTGCAGTCAATTAACCCCGAAACGTCTTCAATTTCCCTTTACATGTAGCATATCTTGTGCACATATTTATTATTCTGTTAAAAGCTTCCAATATTTACAAACAAGTAGATTTCTGATAGAAATTTTAACAAATGATAATGCGCAGCTCAATTAAGGAAAATGATTTTTTATCCACAAGAACAGTCCTGAGTTTTTCATCATATTTCTATCATTAATGTTCAAGTTATCTCCCCCTAACCTTCTCAGAAGGATGCATCCCTCTTATCTCAATAGATAAACCACTCATAATTAAGAATAGCTTTTAAAGGTAAAGGATTTAAAACTACAAGCCTTGAAATTTTTAAAATATATTTACATATATTAAAAATATTCATCTGCTATTGTTTGAAGGTTATTTTTGAAATCTTTGTATTACAAGTGTAAAAATTATCTTCCCCCAACTTCCATTTTGTTGGTTTTATACAATTTCTTAGTCAACATCACTTATAAACCGGCATTCCTTTTTACCTGAAGAAGGTTTTATTCAGTCAATAAAAGAGCAGTAAATATACCTTGAGTACTTATCAATCATTTTTGAAACTAAGTTTCTTTAATAACCAGCACCTTAAATCAAAGGAAGCAACACTCGTCTCTAACATTTTTTGACCAATGACCAAGTGTAGTAAAGTGAATTTATTTTAACCCCGAAACGTCTTCAATTTCCCTTTACATGTAGCATATCTTGTGCACATATTTATTATTCTGTTAAAAGCTTCCAATATTTACAAACAAGTCGATTTCTGATATAAATTTTAACAAATGATAATGCGCAGCTCAATTAAGGAAAATGATTTTTTATCCACAAGAACAGTCCTGAGTTCTTCATCATATTACTATCATTAATGTTCAAGTTATCTCCCCCTAACCTTCTACTCAATGATATTATGCAAATTCTCGCTAATCTTAACTCCGATCACGTCCTATATAAGGTTTTAGTCAATCGAAAGAAGATTAGAAAGCCACGAGAGTGCTGCTCAAGAACTTTGTGTTACTGAGTTCCACTCACTTACAAAGTATCAAAGTGTTTGACAAACCAATGGTACATTTCTGAAGGCCACTCAAATCTAGGAAGATAACATGCTTACATTAGACATTCTTTCTTAACAACACCCTTTTCTTTACCAGTATCATGAATGAAATATGTATATATTTACAAATTTAGAATCATGTCTGATAGAATGTTTCATGTGTGACGGTTTTGGTTTTTATTGAATATTTAATTTGTCTTTATTAGCATATTTAGTGCCCTAAATTACCTTAAAGTTTATACATTTTCCGATAGTCATCCCTGATGTTCAAAGTCCCGTATTTGTAACTTTGTAACTTTATTTGTTTTCACATGTGCTCAAGTTAAACTTACCTCCATTTTGGCTGTCATTCCGAACTTATATTGTATCCTGACTTTTCATTGGTTGACAGATAGTACTTAGAACATATCAGAAATCATTTTAGATATTCACATTACTATTTCAAAGCTACTTAGTTAGAATGATTTTTATTGGTCAGAGTTTATATATAACAGGCCTTTATAGTGTTATAAATAGGGCTTTAGGAAATTTTCAGTCTACTTGCATAGAGTCTCACTATAATTTTTAGGGTGTTGTATGGAATCATAAAATCTCTTAGGTGTATGGAAGCTCACTCCCATCTATTTTGGTAAATTTTTCTTAGGGCATCACACTCATTTTCTCCCATTATATTTTTGTTATCAAATTATGTTTACTTTGTTATAATTTATTCAGTTATTAATTTATTTTTCTACCTCATTTTTTTGTTTACATTTTGAGATTATTTTGGAAACTTATTTGTTATTTGTTGTCAACTATAAGATATTCAGAATTTCACCATAATAAATTAATTGTTAAAATTTAAACTTTCTTCTTATTTCAAGGTGTTGATCATAATCTAGGAATCTCAGAACCTGGGTTGAATAAAACAGGACCAGTTATTGTACCTTTACATAGTTAGTGGGCTTGGTCTGTTCCTTAGTATTACTTAGTAGAGTTTAAAGATAATTTTGCATACTTTGGGGCAGATTGAGTACACTTTGCGGCCATAGACAAACTGGTTCCGTTACATTTTTGGTGCCTGTGAAACCAGGATTCCTAGACAGAAACCATGACTTCACCTTTATTTAGCTTCCATACATCAACCCCTAAGGAAAGTGGTGCTAGACCTAAGGTCTTGAGTCAGGGTGCTAGAAATAAAGATCTAGATGATAGCTTTGATAATGATTTTGTAGCCCTTGAGAAAGAGTATGAAAGTATGTGTCTGGAAGATGCAGAGAAAGAGTTTGAAGAGCTCAAAGCTCGTTTCAATAGGTATAAGCAAGATCTGGAAGAGAGTAGAGCCTCGAGTGAGAGTGACAAAGTAGAGTCTACTGATAAAAAGCAAGATAAGAAGGTCTCTTTTGAATTACCTACACAGGATGCTCACTTTTTAGAGAGTAGGGAGATACAGTTAGAAAGGGATGCTTTGCTTAAGAGAATACAGGAGTTAGAACAAGTAGAATTAGAATTATCTGCACAGTTAGACCGTCACAATAGATTGCACTTTGTTCCACCACCACCAGATAGGTTTGCATTTGTACCAGAGACACCACATGCAAATAGAGCTATATCTACACTGGGTACACCACATGTAGACAGGGTTAACTTTGTACCAGAAACACCACATGCCCACAGAGCTACATCTACACAGAGTACACCACAAACAGACAGGTCTACACCTAGACACCATTTTTCACCATCTGATAGGTTTACACCTGTAGATAGATCTTTTGTCAGTAGTTCATTTCAAGGTCACCCTATTAGGAAAGAGAAAGAACCTGATTAGTTTGATGGGAGAACAGTTGAATGGAAAGATTTCATAGTACACTTTGAACAGGTTTCAGATTGGAATAAGTGGACTTATCATGAGAAGTCTCAACAGTTGGTTATATATGTGCTTAAGGGGTGAAGCTCAGAAACTATTGGGCGACCTCACAGTTGAATTAAGATCAGATTATGATAAGCTTAGGTCTATCTTGACAAAGCGGTTCAATCCACAAGAATTGGTCATAGCTCATAGGTGTGAATTCAGATCACGTAGACGAAAACAAGGTGAAAGTCCTTCAGATTATGGGTATGCTCTCAGAAGGTTAGGTTGTCTAGCATTTCCTGATATGACTTATGAAGACAGGGAAATTAACATTCTAGAACAGTTCATCAATGGCATAGGCAATTCCGCAATTCATGATCATGTTATTTTTCACCATCCTAAAACCTTAGAGGCTGCCATTTCATTAGCTATTGAATTTGAGTCTGTTAAGGGTCCACAATTGTCCATTGTCAAACCAGTTCATGTAGGTGACATTGTGAATACAGTTCAGTCAAAGGGTGAAAGTGAATCTAAGAAACAAGAACCCCTTAAAGAAATGTCAGAGTTAATGAAGTTAATGCAGGCTTGTGTAGATAAACTTTCAAAACTCAGACCACCAAGAGGAGGTAAGAGACACTCAGGGAACATGACATACACAGAATGTTACAATTGTCATAATTTTGGGCACCTAGCCAGACACTGTCCAAACAAGAACAGTTCCACACAGAGAAACACTCAACAAACAGACAAACCTACAAAACAAGAAAACTAGTTGGGGTTGCTCTTAACGCCCATAGTGCAGCCCAGAGTTGTAATGAAAATAAGGGCAAAAGTATCAAAATCAATGTTTTAAGAAGGTCTTGTCTACTTGCACATTGTCTGTTAGGGAATGATGTACATAAGTTTTTAGTTGACACTGGTTCAATGGCAAGTATTTTATCAAAGGATGTATATTTACAGTTGGAAAATAGACCTAGGTTAGGAACAACTGATGTTATTCTCACTGCAGCAGATGGAAGTAACTTGAGAATTCTAGGGAAAGTTGACCTTCAGTTTAGTCTTGGTGGAATAAGTTTTTGTCATGAATTCATTGTTGCTGAGATAGATGACCTTCAGGGTATCTTTGGAATGGATTTTCTAGAGCAAAATGATGCATCAATTCAGATTGGCAAAGGCTTATTAAAAATAGCCGGTCAACAAATTCAGTTGGACAGAGAACAAATTTCTGTTTGCACTAGAGTCAAGTTATCTAAAAAGATAGTTGTACCTCCTGATAGTGAAATTGTTGTTTCAGGTTATGCTGTTGGTTTAAAGGACAAATCTGTACATAATTTAGTTGAGCCTTTTAAATTTTTACAGCAAAAAGGTCTATTGGTTGCTAGGACTTTGGTCAATCCAGAAAACATTTTGTTTTCAGTTGTAAATATTACAGATAGGCCTGTTAGAGTTGACAAGAATGCCACAGTTGCTTCATTACAGCCTGTAGATATTGTTGAGTCAAGTACTGAGTCAGTTGATGTGTCATCTGAGTTGCCAGAACATTTACAAGTTTTGTTTGAGAAATCATCTGTTGGTTTGACTGAAGAACAAAAATCAATATTGTTCGAGTTGCTAGTTTCGTACAAAGACATATTTGTGGGACCTGATGGAAAATTTGGTAGGACAAAGTTAGTCAAACACAGTATTGATACTGGGGATAGCAAGCCAATTAAAATTCCCCCTCGTAGGTTGCCATATGCACAAAAAGAAATTTATATATAAAAAGAAATTCAGAAAATGCTTGAAAATAATATCATTGAACCAAGTGAAAGTCCCTGGTCTGCTCCTTTGTTATTGGTCGAAAAGAAAGATAAAACCTGGAGGTTTTATGTAGATTATAGGCAACTAAATAAGGCTACCAGAAAGGATGCATATCCTTTACCCCGAATTGACGAATCCCTTGATTCTTTAGCAGGTGCTTCATGGTTTAGTACCCTTGATATTGTGTCAGGATATTGGCAGTGTGAAATGGAAGAAAAAGATAAGCCCAAAACTGCATTTTCTACACATATGGGTCTTTTTCAATTTCAAGTGTTACCCTTTGGAATATCAAATGCCCCAAGTTGTTATGAAAGACTTATGGAATTGGTTTTAAGAGGTCTTAGATGGGAAAAATGTCTTTGCTACCTGGACGACATTATTGTATTTGGTTCTAGTTTTGAGCAAGCTGTTCAAAATCTGAAGTTGGTTTTTGATAGGCTCAGATCTGCCAATTTGACTTTAAAACCTTCGAAATGTGTGTTATTTCAGCAGAAAGTCAATTTCTTAGGTCATGTTGTGTCTAGCAAAGGGATACAATGTGATCCCGGCAAGATTGAAAGTATTCAGACTTGGCCTGTACCTAGCAATGCTACTGAAGTTCGTAGTTTCTTGGGTCTCGCAGGTTATTACAGGAGGTTCATACCCAATTTTTCCACAATTGCAAGTCCCCTTACATATCTCACTAGAAAAAGGGCAAAATTTTGTTGGACCCCTGCACATCAAACTGCATTTAACAAACTTAAGGAATTACTAACTACAGCTCCCATTTTGGCTTATCCAGATAACAATTCAGAATTCATTCTTGATACTGATGCCAGTTCGACTGGACTTGGCGCTGTATTGTCACAGGTTCAAAATGGTGAGGAAAAAGTGGTCGCATATGCTAGTCGCACATTGAACAAACACCAAGCCAAATACTGCACAACATACAAAGAATTGTTAGCTGTCATTACTTTCATAAGACAATTCAGACACTTCCTCTGGGGTAGACACTTCACTGTCAGAACAGATCATGCCTCATTAATCTGGTTAAAGAATTTCAAGAACCCAGAAGGGATGTTAGCCAGATGGCTCTCTATCCTGGAAACATATGACTTTAGCATCATACATAGACCTGGGAGGTTACACAACAATGCAGACAGTTTATCTCGTAGGCCAGCAAACTACTGTAAGCGTCTAGATTGTCCAGATTGTCATTCTGAGAATCACAGTTGTCTTCAGTCTCCAAAGGAGTTGCCTAAAACAAAAGATTTCTCAAAATCTGTCAAAAATAGAGTAGCTCCTTTAAGGACTATAGATAATGAGTCCGAATTAGGAGACCAGTCCAATACATCAACAGATTCTCTTAGTGGTAATCTTGAGGCAAACTGGTTACAATCTTGGTCACACGAAGAGTTATCTAACTTGCAACAGAATGAACATGCATTAAAACAAATTATTAGTCTGAAAGAAAAGTTCATTACAAAACCACCCCGTCATGTTGTATTAGATGCATCTCCAGAATTAAAAACACTTTGGGGATTATGGGAGTCATTAACAGTTGTTGACAATATCCTCTATTATAGATGGAAAAATTCAGATGATAGTGAAAAATTATTGTTAGTTGCTCCTAAGGAAATCAGATCTACAATATTTTACCAACTACATGAATCTAGAACTGCAGGACATTTAGGCAGAGAACGCACCATTAAGTCCATCAAACGAAGGGTTTATTGGCCAGGCATGTCTTCTGACATTAAACGTTGGTGTAAACAGTGTGATATGTGTGCAAGAGCTAAAAGTGGTCCAGGGTTAGGTAGATCAGCACTTTGTCAGTCAGTTACCGGTGCTCCTTTAGATAGGGTTGGTATAGACATTGTAGGGCCTCTTCCTATTACAGGTGATGGAAATGAATATCTTATAGTTCTTTGCGACTATTTCACAAAATGGGTTGAAGCTTATGCAGTTCCCAATCATACTGCATTGACTGTAGGTGATAAAGTTGTCAATGAGTTTATTTGTAGTTTTGGTGTTCCCAAGCAGATCCATTCTGATCAAGGTCGTGAGTTTGAGTCAGAATTGTTCTCAGTTTTATGTGAAAAACTTGGTATAGAGAAAACAAGGACTACACCTTATAGGCCACAGTCCGATGGGTTAGTAGAAAGATATAATAGGACGTTGCAACAAATGTTAGCCAGTTATGCAAATAAGAATAGGAACAATTGGGATGAGAATTTGCCTTTTCTTCTTATGGCGTATAGGTCTACAGTTCAAGAGAGTACTGGTTGTTCACCTAACTTGCTCATGTTTGGTCATGAAATTTATAGTCCTATTGATCTTATATTAGGTAACCCTCAAGAAACCCCAAATCCCACTTGCCCAGTTGAATATGTGGAATGGTTGAGAAATGTTCTTTCTGAAACTCATGATTTTGTTAATGAAAATCTGAAGCGAGCCGCTGTAAAACAAAAGAAGTATTATGATAGAGGTCTTAAACCTAGACATTTTTCACAGGGTGATTATGTGTGGAGATGGTATCCTCCTACAGCAGGAGCTAAGTTAGCTTTAGGTTGGATAGGACCCTACAAAGTAATTAACAAACTTACAGAGGTGACCTACAGAATACAGAAAACACCTGAAAGTTCATGTATTGTAGTCCATGTAGACTACCTAAAACCTTATGAAGGTATCTCTCCCCCACCTAGTTGGATACCAGTAGTTACTCCCCTTGAAGAATCAATTTCTCAAGAAGTTACCCCTGACCCTGTAGATAATGAACTCTTGAGTGAAGAGGAGTCATTTTTAGCTGATTTTATTCCAGAACCCAGTCCTGAATATAAAAGATCAAGAGTTGGCCGTCGAATTAAACCAAGGGATATCTATTCTCCTTGAACCAATAAACCCCTTGTACATATATATATATTTTAAAATGACATAATGTCATTTTTGTATTGATAGCACTTAATGAATATGTTTCCATTTTTTTTTATGTTGAGGTATTTTTTTTCTCTAAAATCTAAAACAACAGTATAAAAGTTTAAGTGTTTTCTAAGTCTCCATTCTGAAATTCTTCATATTATTGCTGTTTTGACTTTATTGGATATGGTCGATGAGAGATGTTTTATTTTGGAAATGAAACGCCGTAGTTGATTCATTTTATTAGTTATCTAGAAGTCAAACGGTTCTTAGCTGTTATTTTTTTCACATCATTTTAGACTTTTCCTATATCAATAAAATAGATAATGATTCATTGAGAGAAATTGTGATCATTTTGTTACAATTCCGTAGATGAACATGTTTGAGTTATCTCCCTTTATTGTGTTGGAATTCAAAACCATTAATTCAGACTTGTAATTGCTAGGAGTAATATTAGTGGAGGCCTCTACATGCAAACAAGTGCGTGTTTTGAGAAGTGCATTGAGATTGCACGATAGTAATTATTGATATGTCTGACTTATTCCATATAACAGACTTTAGATATTACAATCTTTCATTAAGATGTAATTTTCAAAATTTGATTTCAGATTATGGAGTCACTTAGAAACTTAAAATATAAATTTACTAAAATAAAAAATTTAGTTGTTTTATAATAACTTTAATGATATCCTTAATATTTTAGACATGGAAGATATTTTAGATATCCATCCCAACGATGACGAGATGACTGAGTTCCAGGAGGAGGAGATGGGTGAGGAGTGGCCGGAGGAGGGCATGGTTTGTCCTATTGTAGGATGTCCCTCTGGAGATCATTGGTTTAACCGACTCGGGAGCTATTGGAGTCATTTTCACCGATACCATCGCAGATTCGTAACATTACATCACTGTCCCCTCTGTGGACTTAAGGACATTAAAATGTCCGAAGTCCGGCGTCATCTCAGAAGAAAACACCATCATACCTCCAAAGAAACTAGTGTCAGGAAGGAGGTGGTGCTTAACGACAAGTTCGTGAGTCCAGGAGAGTTCAAAAGGCCACGGCCACGGATACACAGGGAGGAACGGGAGAGGGCAAAGGAGGAGAGGCGAAGGACCACATCCACTCCACTGTTCTCCCTGACGGAAGATCATAACCCCAGGGATGAGAAATGCCCCGTGGGAGGTTTTAGGAAATGAACTTTGAAATTTATAATTTTGATAAATTATTATTTTTCTCTTATTATTATGTAACAAAAATTGTAATTTTTGTTTTAAGGGGGGAAGAGTGTGACGGTTTTGGTTTTTATTGAATATTTAATTTGTCTTTATTAGCATATTTAGTGCCCTAAATTACCTTAAAGTTTATACATTTTCCGATAGTCATCCCTGATGTTCAAAGTCCCGTATTTGTAACTTTGTAACTTTATTTGTTTTCACATGTGCTCAAGTTAAACTTACCTCCATTTTGGCTGTCATTCCGAACTTATTTTGTATCCTGACTTTTCATTGGTTGACAGATAGTACTTAGAACATATCAGAAATCATTTTAGATATTCACATTACTATTTCAAAGCTACTTAGTTAGAATGATTTTTATTGGTAAGAGTTTATATATAAACGGTAACAGCGGCATTTTCAAGTCACCCTAGGCTAAAGAACCCAAAGGTTCAAGCTTTCTCTTCTTCTCTCTTAGGGTTAAATCCCGGACTGCTCGTGCAGTCTCATTTTTTTTTGTTTAGGACACGATCTAAATTCTGTAAAATGTAACTAAGTCCTTAGCTAGAGTCACATTGGTTCAAGGATGAATTAGATATCCCTAGGCCTTTATAGTGTTATAAATAGGGCTTTAGGAAATTTTCAGTCTACTTGCATAGAGTCTCACTATAATTTTTAGGGTGTTGTATGGAATCATAAAATCTCTTAGGTGTATGGAAGCTCACTCCCATCTATTTTGGTAGATTTTTCTTAGGGCATCACACTCATTTTCTCCCGTTATATTTTTGTTATCAAATTATGTTTACTTTGTTATAATTTATTCAGTTATTAATTTATTTTTCTACCTCATTTTT